GATTTGATACATTTTAAGTTCTGCCAAATAATCCCCAAGTTGAGTGATTTTCTTACCTGGAAGAATAAGGATTTGAGTTTGTGTTGATTCCTTTTTAAAATTCTGAATGCACTTTGTGTCACAAACTCAGCCTGACTCTTCAGCATTACCAGCAGAAAGCATTAGATAAGTCAGGCTTAGACAAAGTATTTTTTTGTGTGATGTCGCAGTTCCATTAAGTTATGTAAGCTTATCTCTGACTTTAACTACAGGAAGATTTTAAACTATTCAATATTGGTGAAATGCTGGACAGCTTCTGAGGTGTTTTGCTTGTTCTCCATGAGTGGTTGCACTGAATTTGTTAGTCCTGCAGAGAAACCTTTTCAAGTGTGAAGTGCAGAGAGCAGAGATGGAGTCAAAGAAAGAGAAGCAATTTTTTTAAGAGTCAGTAGGAAATCAAGAGTCTCCCTCGCATACACAAAGAAAATATTTTTCATACATATAAGTTTATAATCATGTGCATTGTATAGTGTCATGGATGTGTATTACAGAAAACATTGCAGGCAGTGATTAACTAAAGAGCATTGCAACTGAAGTGGAGCAATTATCTTGAGATGTGCAAACACAAGTGCAAAATTGAATACTCGGACTTGTATAGATTGAAGGGTACATAGACCAAAGCTGCCAATTTATCTACTGTTTTTGTTCTAAATTTTATTGGATTTTAACTTTCAGCAGTGATGGCAGGAAAATTACCTCATCTAATATCTGCCAGACTCAAGAGCAACACCACTGCTCAGTCTGCTCAGAGGCTGCTGGGAGTCCAAATTCTCTTGAGAAAATGAAATCCAAGACTTTGTGTCCTACCTCTTTGTGGGAAAGTTGGGGGTTTTTTTACAGGATAAACTGCTTCACGATCACATACAACAATCTGGGGATGTTTTTTTTCAGTCATCTGGCATCTTATGTATAACAGTTAATGCCCTTTGGAAGGGCACGTCTATATTAGAATTGTTATGTTTTCAGCAGTTACTTAAAGTTAGATCAACAGTTCTCTCCAGACAGTCATTGCTATGTCATTCTGCGTAGATTTACAGCTTAATTAACCTGTGTCTTTATCTGTAGGTCATCCCAGATCAGTTCAGCTGACTGTAATCTTCCACTTACATTTTAAAATTCAACTAGTCCTGGTAAAATTCCAGTTTATGTATACTAAACAATATTTATATTAGAGCAGTCCACTTGCCTGCTTCCAGGTGTACTTGGTAGAAAGGTCTTCAATTCTGTGGTCACTGGGAAAAGAAAGAAATTCCCTGACATGCCAAGACCCAGCAACACTGGTAATGCAAAGAGATGAATAGAAGCCAAGGATCTTTGTAAAATCGGGAATGGGAAAGGCATCTAAGTAACTGCAGGTGCCAAGGAGGGATCTCTTTCCCAAATGGAGGTTCTTCCAGGTGGATTCTTTTACAACATAGCAATCTTCATTTAGAAATAGGATCTGGAAACCTAAGATACAAATGTGAATCTTTAGATGGAGAACTAATATGCAGCTTCTGCTGAGGGGAATACCGTTAGTCAGAATGCAGGCAAGGATAAACTTCCTTAAAATTATGAGGTATGACCCATGTTCTTAATTTAAAGCAGATCAATGCCAGATTCCTTAAACAGGAAGAAAAAAATATAAACTTTGAGGCAGAAATAATTTCCAAATGCTGCCTGAGTTGAGAAGGTATGCATGTAGATAGATGGAGGGATACACACAGAAACATCTGGCATCCAAAGGGAAGACCAAAGTGTAGGGGTTTGGCTCACAATCTGTGGAGCTCTGTGGGATAAAGCTGTTGTTTCCTATGGCACCAGCAATAATTCCAGCCTGCTGTTGTTAATGTAAGTAGAGCTGGAGGCTTGAAATGAAGAGCAGAAAATAACTGGGTGAATTTTGTTATTTATTCTGGTGCAGTATTCTTATTGTGGTCACTAAAAGCCTACATTTAAATTTTGAACTTACAGTCAGTACTTATAGCAAAATACCTTTTTTTCCCACATTTTTCTCTAGAATGTGTAATTATTTTGTCCACTGAATTCAATGAAGTAACAGTGACCTAAGTCACCTGAGCTTTAATCCTGCCTGTGGCTGGAAGCCCAGTGTTTCCCTCCCATGCTTTGCAGTAGTGGAAGAAAAGGCATTAGACAAGTTACATTTCTGTTTTGAACCAGAGACCATTTCTTTGTTTCGCTTTGGTGTTTGTTGTTTTTTTTATTTTCCAGAAAAACTATGAATTAGTCAACACTTACCAAAGGTGATATTCCAGCTAAAATGGTAACTGAATATCAGAAGATCATTTGGGCCTGTGCATATATTGACAGGTAGGGTAACACAGTAAGAGTGGAACTATGAAATAGAACAATTGATGATCAGGACTGGGTATTCCACAATATATTAATTTCAGTAGGTTTTACTTCAGACTGATTCTGGTCTGACCTATAAACAGAAGACTCATTAGTGGCTGGAACATTTCAGGGGCACATCTTCTGTGTTAGGTTGACCTGCAGTTAATCCAGATAATATGCTTCAAGGCCTCTCTGCAGCACAGTAAGTGGGAAAAATCAGGAGGTTTCCTTCAAAGTTTAGCTTCTCGACTCACCCAAAATTCTGTGTAGGAGGATGGTTTACCTCCCTCTCTCTCTCATAAAGACAGGCCATCAGTTTTCCATACTGCAGTAAGTGCAGGCTGGGTACGGTCTTGCAAGTTCTTCTCTTGTTAAAATTCTTCCCACTGGGTTATAGGTAAGCTTGCTTGCAAAAGGATTGTTTCTCAGCTGAAGTAAAAATATCTGCTGTATAGCATTGGCTATGGCATTGTTACGGCACTGTTCTGAGGCTTGCCAGAGAACAGCTGTTTCCTCTTTTTGAAAGGTACTGAAAAAGAGACAGACAAGGCAGGAAAATTCAGAGGGAGTGATAGCGGCTTAGAATTTGTGCTCTCTTCTTCAGGCAAGGTGCTTGATTCACAGAACTTGAAACTGGACTTGGGCAAGATCCCTGAGGCAATACAGACACAAATGCTGAAGTGACTGGAATTCTCAAAGAACTGACTAATACTTTTTTACCTGGAGAGGAAATTACTGAGATATAAGACTCACTACTGAAGTTTTAAACCTCTTGAGTTATATACTTTCATTTTTGATGTGCCCAAATGACCAAGGTCACTTTATTTAGCAATAACTCCACAAATCAGAGGACAGACAATAAAAGATTGATTTGAAGTCATTAAAGCAATTAATCAGTATGCTTATTTGATAATAATGCTTCCTGGAATAAGTCTGAAACCACTGTTAGCATCAGTATCACAGCTGGTGAGGATACCCACCTACGGAGGGCAGCCAGAGGCGGCCCTGACAGCTGCTCTGAATTGTCATGTTGCACATTCCATGGTTTAAACAGTAATTTATTTTGCAATCCCTACATCATCAATTCTGGGATGTTTGTCCATAATGTTTAATGTTTAGAGAGGTCAATATTTAAAGAGATCTGTTTTCAGCAAATAAAACCTCTAGGTTGCCTGAAAGTTAATATGTCACACACACTGATGGTGATACAGAGCAAGAATTGTCACCGACAAAGTGTCAGTGCCTCTGTGAAGACAAGAAATTACGATGCCAAGTGAACCACTAACGAGAAATACTATTTAAGACTTCTGACGCAGTTTCTGAGTGTCTTAGTAAAGTTCACTGGAGCATAAAGGAAAGACTCCATTTGTTAATCCTATTCAAGACATGCAGGGGAACAAGAAAGTGTGAATAGTACAAAACAGGCTACATAGGATTTGCCAGCATGGGGAAATGCACGTCCCTGCTGCTTTGCCGCCTTCTCCAAGCTAGTGTGGGAAGAAACAGGCATGTGTTTTGGCAGACTGTGCAATGCACTGCCTCTCAATAATCCCTGTAAGAGTTTCTGCAATATCTTCCTGTAGGATCTCTGCCTTGAAGTAGCATCGTCATGCTTGGCATCGAGGTTCCCAAAATGATGTTGGTACAATTCAAGTAGCAAATTTGAGGGTTGTGCTGCCTCATCATCATGGCTAGGCTTCGCGAACGAAGATTTGAGAAGGGCTCTACCCACGCTTGCTACAAGCGCGCTGATGGCTAAAAAGGCCAATGCGAGATAGACAAGTCCAGTTGCAGAAGGCACAGCAGAAAGACTCCCCAGGTGATATCGACGAGACGCGATTCTTTCTGCGTTGTCTTTTCTCCTCGAGAGTGATCCTGTGGGTGTTCTCAAAAGCAGCAGCAGCGTTATAGATGGTGTGTCTCCAGGCCTCCCAATTGGAGGCCAGGGTAGACCAATGGTGGTGATCAATATGGCCAAGGCTGAGGGATTGTTTCAGGCAGTCCTTGGATCTCCTCTTCGGGGCTCCTCTCTTGCGGTAGCCAGTGGCAAGTTCCCCATAGAGCACGATCTTAGGGAGGCGGCAGTCCTGCATCCTGGAGACGTGCCCTGCCCAGCGCAGCTGTGTTCTCAGCAGCATGGCCTCAATGCTCGTGACTGCTGCCTGTTCAAGGACAGACGTGTTGGTCACATAGTCAGTCCAGTGGATGTTCAGAATTGTGCGGAGGCAGCGCTGATGGAAGCGTTCTAAGAGACGCAAGTGGTGGCGGTAAATGGCCCATGATTCAGAACCATATAAAAGAGCAGACAGTACAATGGCTCTGTAAATGCTGATCTTTGTACTGTTCTTCAGGTGTTTGTTTTGCCACACTCTTTTATGGAGTTTACCGAAAGCTCTGTACGCCTTAGCTAACCTGTTGTCTATTTCTGCATCAATCTTACCATCTGAGGAGATGATGCTTCCCAGGTAATTGAACTGTTGGACTGATTTGAGCTCTGTTTCACCAATGGTGATATGGGGATGATGGGAGACTTCCTGAGGTGCAGGCTGATATAAAACTTCTGTTTTCTTCAAGCTGTCTTCCAGCCCAAAAAGCTCAGCAGCCTCTGCAAAGCAGGATGTTAAACGCTGCAGAGCTACTTCTGTGTGGTTAAGGAGGGTGGCATCATCAGCGTAAAGCAGCTCATGGACAAGATGATTTAAGGTCTTAGTGTGGGCCTTCAGTCGCCTTAGGTTGAACAGGCTCCCATTGTTATGGTATCGAATGTAGACACCGTTTTCATCATCGAGGTCTGCTGTGGCCCTTTGGAGCATCATGCTGAAGAAGATTGTGAATAAAGTTGGTGTGAGAACGCAGCCTTGCTTCACACCATTGGCTATTGGAAACGGCTCAGAAAGTGCATTGCCATATCTGACCTGACCGCACTGGTCCTCATGAAGCGAGATGATCATTTTGAGGAACTTGGGAGGACATCCTAAACGTTCCAAAATCTGCCACAGACCTTTTCTGCTCACAGTATCGAAAGCCGTGGTGAGATCAACAAAGGTAACATAGAGTCCTTTGTTCCGTTCCCAACACTTCTCTTGCAGTTGTCTGACAACAAATGTGCTGCCTACAGAGGAAAATATTGGCATTAAAAGCTGTTACTGTAGACACTGAAATCACAGTGTACATGACTATGGTATTACAAGGAAAGAAGTAAAGGGCTGGTGACCTGAGGTTAGCAGGCTTTGCCTCTGCTAACCCTGCTGCTTCTAGATCACCCCCTTTGCCTGACTTTCTGCTTTCTGCTGCAAAGGTCTGTGGCACCAATGCTGGAAAGCACAAATTGTCCTCCTTCTTCTTCCACGTAGAGTTCTGAGCAAGAGGAGGACTTAAACAGCAGATGAGTAAAAGACCTCTGAGCAAAATCCATAATGATCAGAATCACAAAGATACTTTTGCACCTGTTAATTGAAACTGTACAAACACTAATGAGAAAGCTTATGAATCTATACCATTATTATATATATATATGTATATATATACACACACATAATATTTTAATCTGACTTAGGAAAACTCACACCTACAAGCAAAAACAAATTCCTTTCACTGATATGGAAATACAGCCCTTAAATCTGAAATTGCTTTGGTTGAAGCATCATGTTAAACATCTTGATGTGGTGCACTTGTTGTGCAAACATAAATTAAAAAATAGGCTTATAATTTTAATTTTTCTGATTTTTCAGAAGGTGTGACCATTTGTTTCCAGATACTCTAAGCAGTTCTGATATTTCTGGGAAAAGGAGAGATGTTTAAAAAATACTGGTTCTTAACAAGGAAGCTTTGTGTTTCTAGCTCAAAAGATAACTCAGTTCCTGAAAATCACATCTGATAACAACTTTCCTAGGCAATAAGTATATATAGTTTTTTGTGTGTAAAGAGAGGACAAAATACAGTTTAACACTTCTAAGTAACACTTTTAATGAAATGGAGGATGTGGTTTCTTTCCTCAACCTCACCTTTAAAAGTTAGATCCTCCACAGTCATTCAAGGCATTCATAATTTCTTGTAAATAGAAATGAGAAGCAAACAAGATTTATAAAATCCTCTGATTACTCAGGTCTCTATACTTTCTCTCTCTCTCTCTGCTCTCTCTGTCTCCAGACCCAAAAATGCAGGGAAGTCAAGGCAAACAGCCAAGAGTTTCACACCCAGTGCTGAACTGGCATAGAGTCAAAGGTTGCTAGTTGCATTTGGATGCCAAAACATTAGCACTGCTCTCACTACTAGCTGTTACACGTCCTTTTATAAAGCTAGATACTTTGCAATCTTTGCCTCTTCTATAAGCTTTCATTCCTTGCTTTTCCAAGTTTTCCTTGAGCACTAATCTTGCTGCTGGTAAGAAAGCATCTTACACACTGAAATACTCCTCTTCACTAGCAATTATTGATGGATGTCCCTCTTCTGCAACAGAAAGAGGATGCATCAAGTGTTGCATGCCCTGGGTATCTCAGCCCAGTACTGTCCAAGCCTGCTCTTTGGTCCACATTTATCAGACAGCCACACTGAGTCGATCCCCAAAGCCCCACCGAGGGGCTGCCTCAGCCTAAGCTCCACAGGTGTGTTTGAAGGGGCACAGACTACCCATTCTTGGAGCTCCCAAATATATCCCAACTTCTACTCAGAAACGGAACATGTTAAGTGCAATACTGCCCTGTCAGTGTTACCCCAAGCCGACCCTCATTAACGCTGTATGAATGCACTTAGTGACTAATCACCACACTCAAAACCAATGCTGTACCAGCTGAGATCTATCCTTGATCCCTGGTCACAGCTAATGTCTACCCTCAGAAGGTACCATACTGGTATAGCAAGAGGTCTGACCTGTAACTTGCAAACATATTTTTGGGACTTAGGCTTTTATCTATCATGTACTCAGACACCAATAGGCAACCAATAAATCACAAACTTCACTTTAGGCTCATAAATGCTACCACTGAATTCAGAAGGAGTATTCATGTGTTAAATGCTTTGCGATCTGTCACACAAAGGTACGAACTCCCAAATCTGCCTAAAGTCTCTTGTTTTATGAACACATATGTGTTCATCACCAAAGCCCCTGACAAAACGGCAGACTGACACCCTTACAATATGAGATATTATGGCACTTTAATCCAAGGCTCTGTTTTCTGGGAAAAGTAAGGACTCCAATCACAGAAAACTTGATGCAGCATTATTTTTTCATGGATGTTCAAGTAGCAGAAACAACCAGTACAACTGAGCAGATGTCTTCTTGCACTAGGCAGAGTTAACTCCAGCATGGGGGGAAAACCACTGCAGCCTATGGGGAAGTATTTAATCTCTGTTCTCCTGTGCAATTCTCAGCAACACAGTAGAAGGAACACACACTACTATTAATGATTCACGTATTTATAACCCAATCCTCTTGACCTTTGTTAGCCAAAACACCTAAGTAAACCAATCTCTACACTTAAATTTCTTGTAGCTACTCTGAATATGGCAAATGTTAAAAATAAAATTAGGACTGACAGGTTATTTGTTTTGGTTTTTACAGTAACAAAAAGCAGGAATACAGAAATGGTCAGATGAAGTTAAACAACAAGACAGGTAGTAACTGCTAAAAACAGAATGCAAAAAGCTGTTTTGCTTATGTTGCACACTTCAGTTTTTTACAATGATAACAAATTGCTTGTTTATCTCATCCAAGAAACTGTTTCCTCATTTCATGCTACAGAAAATAGCTGACTAGGTGAAAATGGTTGATCAGTAATTTTGAGGATTACAGCTAAATCATTGCACTCCTTTCAAGTTAGTGGTCATTAAAAAAAATAATTACTTCTGTAGCAAATCTTTGGACAGAACACAGCATTTTGACTATTTCCAATTCTTAAGATGGCAGGCACATCCTAAAGGAATATTTAAAATATATACATAATCTTTTCAATTGCTACTGCTTTATCTACATACTGAAATGAAGAAAATCTGAAAGTAAATTTGATGCCCTTAAAAAAGGGCAAGGTTCCTTTTCTGAGTATATCTCACTGAATCTGTGAAATATGTGAAGGTCCTGCAGCTTGTAGCTAGTGTTTTGTTTTAAGACAGCCATTTTGCTTCCTATTCTGCAGTAATATGTAGCATAAGGATAATTCAGGAGCCTATTTGTGTCAAACTGGCAAGGGAAGGCCATACAAAGAAGCAAAGCTACTAGGAATAGTGTATTCTTACTCTCAAGAACTCAATGCTTTGTTAGTGCCAGGGAAGAAATTCCTACCTACTCTTAGCATGCTGCTTTGCAGGCCAAAAGTAAATCAGGATCTGTAAGCACTGTGGATTCCTTAAGCTCCACCTATTATCTGTAGCTGCCAGATCAGAGCTTTTAACTGAGTAAACCAATTTATGCTTCTGTATTTCAGTCAAATACGCTTGATTGTGCATAACCTGCTCACTAAAAAAAGATACTTAATCAGCATAAATGCATGCTTTGTGCATAAGAGCCTGGCATTTCGCTGGACATAGACGAAACAAAACAGAGTTTTAGCTGGGAAAAATGGTTGTTGTCCAGATCACCAGCAATTTGGAAGGTTGTTTCCGTGTGGTCACATTAGTTACACCTGGAGCACCGTAAGACAATAACTGCTGGATGACATTGGATCCATATGGCTGCAGAAAGAGTCAGAAAATTATTTGTTAGAGAGGTTTTAAATGGTAATGGAAGGATGCTTGTTATTACACTCTGAAAAGTATAACATATAAACACCGAGTGTGGGAGCTTGCTCAGCAATTACTCAGAAGTAAAAGGATATCACTGTAATTTCCCATGTAGAGACACAATATAGATAAGTGTTTGTGTCCTTTCTAAGATTTTTCTTATGACAACTTTCACTGAAGCCAAATGAATCATACAAACAAACAAACAAATAAACACGCCCCTCTCCCCCAACATTTTAAATAACCTACCAAAGCTTATTTTGCTCTTCCAAAATCAATTTTTGTTCTTCCCTATTGTGAACTTGCTATTTCCTTGTTTTTCATGCTCAGGACTCACAAAGTAAAGAGGTTCTTAATTTCTGAAGTGAAATAATGCAGAATTTTAGCTAATTTACAAACAAACTTTGCAGCTTCCCTCAAGCCTGCTGCTCTAGAACACAAAGATCTAGTGTTCTTCACCATCAGGATTTAGGAGAAAAGAGAAGGAAGGAAAAACTCCCTTTAATTTTGCCTGTGTATTACTTCTGTATTTCCTTAAGTAGAAGGCAAACAATGTAATCTAAAGTGCTACAAAACCCTTTTCCTTAATTGTCTGGCAGAGGTGAAGTTATAATACAGGTGATCCTTCATTTGACAAATAGATAAAACAAGGTTTGAGTAAAAGCTCTTAGCTAGCCTTAGTCTCAGTGATGTTCTCCAATCCATTCCTACAATGTTATTAATTCCTGCTTTGTAAACACAACGAACTGACTTCATTTGCAGCCTGGATTTCACCCACAGCTTGCTTAATCACTATTTTGGGTTTTATAAAACAAATTATAAAACAAATTAAAAGACAGACCTGTTTTAAGTGCACCAGTCTATAAAATCACTGCTCCAGGACACTTAGTTTTATTAGAAATGAGCAATGCAGGATCCTCCTTTGCTCAAAGTCACAATTTCTTACTACTCCCAGGCTTTCATTAGTATTTCTTTTTTGCAAAGCAAGCATAAATGTGCTCAGTTTGGCACAGGTGCAAATGACCTAGGAATTGCAACCACAAATGTCCCATTACATAACTGCATATGCTTCCTATTTTAATCAGTGTGGTAAATGACTAGTTGTCTAAACATGCAACCTAAAAACCTAATATGAAAACATGATAGAGACACCTTCACTTTTGAGAGGCCACTATCCTCCACCTGAATATATCACGTTCAGTGCTATAGTTCTTGTCTCAATGACACACTACCTAGTTATCTGGTTCACCTTTTTGCTCTCTAAGAAATGTGCTGAGTTGTAACATTTGTGCCCTATTGTAGAAGTAAGAGAGGACAGAATGTGAGGCCCTCATTTGTTTGACTTGTGCAGGTGCACAGATGTTCAGGTTGCTGCGTTATAGATATCGTGTATCAATCCACAGCAAACTTTAGCTATCTCCACACTCAAGTGTGTGATCCTTTTGGACTGGGAGGAGCTGACCTTACAGTGAAAGAATTAGATATTTCTAAAGGAAAAAAAAAAGTCAAATTTCTCCACTTGTATTCCTTTATTTTCTTGGACAGATGATTTCAGGACAAAGAATTTCCCTCTATTCTCTGTGTAACACTGATAAAATAGAAAAGTCTTGTTGAGGATTGTCATCCCACATTACTCATCCTCTTGAGTTATGACAAACATCCTGAGTAGATGAGCACAAGGAGGAAATGCAAATCCATCCTTTGACATACAGGGAAGATTAAGAATGATCAACAACTAGCGACAATCTACAGAGACATAGCAATATCTCTGAAAAGGAAAAGCACATATATATGGGGGAGGAAAATAAGTAATTTTATAAAGGTTCTCTCTCTAATTTGTAAATTTACAGTTATAAAAAGTATTACTCATAGTCTCATTTTTATTTTTACTGTTTGTCCAAGCCCAAAGCTACTTCAAGAAAGATGCTTTCCTTCTAGAAAGGAAACAGAAGCTTCTTGTTTTCTCATTTTCTCTCAATTTTTGCAGTCTCTAGTATACTAAAAATGTGCAAATGCAAATTCATTTGTGAATGAAGGATTCTGTCTACCCTATTTGTCACCTGAACCACATGCATATGGTGTCCAGACTTGCAGACTGCAGTAATGAAGATTAGTATAATTTTTGCAGATACAGCCCTTCGATTTAAAGTCTTCACTAGTTAGTAATAATATCAACCCAGAAACACAAATTCTAACCTAGAAAAATGAGGAGAATATCTACTATAAGCAACTAAATTCCAGGGGGAAAAAAAAGCAGACAAACTCATTGCAAGCTCCTTACAGTATTATTCTACAAAATTCTTTAACATTAACATCAATATTTTGCAGTATAATATAAGTACGATTTTTAAAGTACTCAGGAATTAAAACGCAGCTGCATGTGACTTTCAAAAATGGAAGTGGTATTCGAAATTAATCCCCTGAATTCCTTGAAATACTTTATTTTCTCTGTAGTATTTCTTCACATCAGCTTTCAGTTTCATCTAATGTAGAAAAAAACCCTTGTCAAAATCTTGCCTGTACTTTGGTAAGTTAGTAGGCAAATTTAAACCATGTTATAACATTAACCCAGATCTTTCTTTTTATTTCTGTATACAAATTTAATCATTACATATGTGTTACAACTTAGACAGCTTCAGTCTATCCTACTTTTGTATTGAAGATATGTCATGGTATCCTAACTTTTAAAAGCTGAAAAACGAAGAACTGCAGTCCCTGACACCAAAAAGATCAACAAGCACTCAAGAATGTAGAATAAATACCTGTCCTATGAAACAGGCTTTTGCTACTGCCTCATCTTCAATAGCATTGTAACCTTTCTTCTTCCACCCCCAAGCAAATCTAACCTGAAGCAAAGCCTTATACTCTTGCTCTAGCTTCCCTTCTACAACCACTTTAAAATTCTCCCCTATCTGCTTTAAAATGCCCATATCACACCAGACAAAGTTTGTCAGATTATCTGTTTGCCACTTTCTCTAACAAAATAAATTAACCCTTTCCACTGAAAGAACCTGTGAGGTTCTGGGACACAAAGTATGTTGCAAAATTATCAAGTCACTAGAAGCATCTTTTGAAGGCAGCCATGGCTATATATATAATTTTACTGGCACAAACATACCATCTTTCCAACTCTGTGATTAAGTACCAGCCAGCATCAAAGATTTCCATAGGTAATTCAAAACACAGGCATGGAGTTCTCTCTGGTTTCATAGTTCATACTGGTATAAAATCTGGTTATCTATTAACTTAGTGATAGCTACCTGTCTTACATGATTGTGGTAAGTCCCATGGGCTTCATAGAATCCTTTATAGAGAAAAATAACAAATATTGCAAGTTTAGGTGGATTATTTAAGCAAATATTTTGACCATATCTTTACAAGGGCCAGATGAGATAATAACACTAGAAATTACAGGAAGCGAAAACAGAAAATACGAATCTGGAATAGAAACCTTAAGAGGAAGAAAGAGAGTAGGTTTTACTGTCCATCAGTGTTACTATTTCCCTGTGCCCAAGATACAGCAAAGAATGGCAGCAACAACAGTCAATTCATAAAAGCATGGCATCATCCTTGTTATTTCTTTCTTTCAAAAAAAATTTTGCCTCAGTTGCCTGGTGGATGTCCTCATTCATCCCAATGCATTAGTTTTTATGACAGGACCTGCATTACTGTTTTCTCCTAACAGAACGGGAGACAAGCAGCAGATGCTGGTTGTAATATCACCTCTAATATCAGCTGTTTCTGTACTTCCTCACAGGTGTTTGTCTTCCACATGGCTGACAGCTGAATTCTGTTCAAAAAGGATGATTAAGACTGCAATAGGTACAAAGCCAAGTTTCCTCTTGAATTCTTTTCTTTTTCCTGCTGTGCCTCATGTAGTTGGCAGAGCTTTTCCATTGTGGAACAGGGGTTGCTGGAAGTGAATTCTTCCTTAGCAGACAGGCTTTTGTTCAGTTTTGACTCCAGGCTTCTAGCCCAAACTCTTGAGCAATCTTCACTGAGAAACCTCTGTGCGTCTGTGGTAAGATTTTTCTTTTTTTAGAGTTTTCTAGTCTGAGCCAATTTGTAGTACAGAGATCCATTTTCTGAAAGACTGTGTTCTGTGCAGAGATTCTTCAGTATCAGCCTTGTGCTAGCACATTCTCTGAGATTTACATCACATTAGGCTTTAGGTTTAAATGCAGATAAAATTTTTCTTAGGTTTATATTTCTTTAGGCAGACTAATTGTGGAACAAATCAGGGCAGCATACTGTATTCTCACATCTCTTGTCTCTTAATTTTAATCCTTCACTTATTTTTCCATACAAAGGGGTGTAAAAACAGTGTTTACACATTAAACTTTTATTTCCAAATTTCTTCTCACCAAGTTCAAAACATTTCTAGTCAGCCTTCACCTGACAGTTGCTTTGGTTGAATGTTTTGATGAATCATATAAAAAATGTATGTGACTTTCGCTGCAGTTTGCACTTTGCTTCTTTTCCAGCCAAAAAGAGAGGAGTGAGGGTTACAGAGAGTTTCCACATTTCCTAATCTAACTGTAAGCCCCAAAATGCACATTCTCACCTCTTCTGCAGAATGGCAAGGAAATTTTACAACAGCTACAAGCTCCTGGGTAGCAGGTTGGTTGTTACCATTTTCAATTCTACCTAAGTTGCTTGCTTTTTTCTTTAAACTTGTTTTTCCCATCATTATTCCACTTCAAGAAATTCATCTGCCTCTGACCTCCCTCTCCATACTGATACATGTTCTTTATACTGAAATTGTTTCATAGGTGACCTTTGCCTGGACTTAATCTGTTATAAATTGCCACATCCAGACTTGGACTCCTATTTTTAAATACCTTGACAATATATTGCTTTTACAGACGCCTCTATTTTCTGTAAGAATACATGAATGTATCAGTATCTCAAATATCTTAAAAGCACCAAACCATAACAAACAAGCGAGAAAAGCCACAAAACAGAACTCCAGTTGATTCATGGTGGACTTGATTATTTGCTTCTCAAGTTATTAACAACACTGTTCCTGTGTTGGCTATGGCTAAGATGAAATGTAGCAACTCCATTTGATTTATAATACTGGGGATACAAAAGATAGTAATGCTTGCCTGATATCTTTTAAGCTTTTGATATCTTGTGTTCTTTTATCCAAGACTAAGACAGATGTTTTTTGAATCAATAGGCTGCACTGGGGTATCAGACAGTGTTCCAGATGGATATCCTTATTCACTTATATGAACTTCTGTGTTGCTTCCCTTGGGGAAATATAAAGAGTCACACATTTAAAAGAGCCCATAATGCTAAAGGCTTTATTTGTTCAATTGACTGCTGCTTATAATTACAACATGACAGAAAGTAACAGACCAACATATTCATTTTTAGTGTATAATTACACTCTGAGCAAGAATAGTTGGAATTACTATGGGGAAGAACCATTCAGCTATACTGTTGAAAAGAAAAATGGAATCACAGAATGTTTTCAGTTGGAAGGGATATTGAGGATACTCTAGTTCTACTTCCCTTGTCATGGGAAGGAAAACCTTCTAATAGGGCCAGGCTGCTCAAAGGCTCCATCCAACCTGGTCTCAAACACTTACAGGGATGAGGTATCCATAGCTTCTCTGGGAAATCTGTTGCAGTGTCTTACCACCCTCACAGTAAAGAATTTCTTCCCAATATCCAATCTAAATACATCCCTTTCATTCAAAGTCATTTCTGCTTGTCCTATGCTCTTTTTAAAAGTGTTCTTTTTAAAAGTCCCTCTTCACCTCTCTTTTAGGCCCTCTTTTGGTACCGGAAGGCCATTAGAAAAATCTTTTCTGAGCCTTTTCTTCTCCAGGCTGAACAATCCTAATGCTTTCAGCCTGTTTTCACAGGAGAGGGCTCCATTCCTCTGATCATATTTGTGGACTCCCTCTGGACAAGTCCATGTCATTCCTCTGCTGAGGACCCCAGAGCTAGATGAGCACTACAGGTAGGGTCTCACAAGAGCAGGGTAGAGGGACACAACCACCTCCCCTGACCTTCTGGCCACACTGCTTTTGACGCAGCCCAGGATAGGGTTTGATTTTCTGGACTGTGAGTGCACACTGTCCACTCATGTCCAGCTTCTCACCCACCAACAACCCCAAGTCTTTCACACCAGGGCTGTTCTTGGTCCATTCTCTGCCCAGACTGTACTTTTGCTCAGGACTGCCAAGACCCAGGTCCAGGTTTGGCCTTGTTGAATTTCATGAGGTTCACTCAAACCCACCTCTCAGGCCCATCCAAGTCCCCCCAGTGTCATCCCTTCCCTCCAGCGTGTTGATTGCACCACACAGCCTGGTGTCATTGGTGAACTTGCTGAGAGTGCTCTCCGTCCCACTGCCCATGTCACTGACAAAGATATTTAGCAGCACCAGTCCCAAAGTTCCCTGAGGAAGCCTCTCATCAGTGGTGCCCACTTGGACATGGAGCTGCTGCAACTCTCTTGAGTGTGACCTTCCAGTTATATCCCTATCCATTGAGTGGTCCAGATGTCAAATCCGTGTCTCTCCGGTTTAGAGACAAGGATGTTGTGTGGGACAATGTCAAATGCTTTGCACAAGTCCAGGTAGATGAGATCAGTCACTCTTTGTTCATCCACAGCCTCTGTAATCCTGTCATAGAAGGCCACCAAATTTGTCAGGCATGATTTGCAATCAGTGAAGCCTGTAACCAATCACCTCTGTATTTTCTATGTGCCTTAGCATAGTTTCCAGGAGGATCAGCTCCATGGTTTTGCAAGGCACTGAGGTGAGATTGAGTGGCCTGTAGTTCCCTGGAGCTTTCTTACTTCCTTTACTTCCTTACTTTCCTTTTTTAAACTAGGGGTTATGTTTCCCCTTTTCCAATCGTGGGAACTTCACTGGACTGCCATGACTTCTCAAACATGATCAATAGTGGCTTAGCTACTTCCTTCATCAGTTCCCTCAGGATCCACATAAGCATCTGATTGGATCCTGCAGACTTGTGCATCTTGAGGTTCCTTAGATGTTCTGGAACCTGATCTTCTCCTACAGTGTGCAGTTCTTCATTCTCCCAATCCCTGTCTTCACATTCTACAGTTTGGGTGGTGTGACTGGACAACTTACTGGTGAAAAAAAGCGGTAGAAAAATCATTGAGTGCCACAGCCTTCTCCAGCTCCCAGCTAACCAGGTCTACTGTTTCCTTCTGGAGATGGCCTTCATTTTCCCTAGTCTTTCTTTTACCACCAGTGTACCTATAAATGCTTTTTTTATTGCCCTTGATGTCCCTGGACAGATTGAATTCTATTAGGGATTTAGCTTTCTTAATCTAATCCCTGAATACTTGGACAATTTATCTGTATTTTTCCCAGGCTACCTGTCCTTGCTCCAATCCTCTTTAGGTTTCCTTTTAGTGCTTTAATTTGTCCAGGAGCACCATGTTCATTCATGCAGGCCTCCTGACATTTTTGCCTGACATCCTCTTCTTTGGAGTGCATCTTTCCTGAGCCTGAAGGAAGTGATTCTTGAATATTAGCCCGTTTTCCTGGGTCCTTCTTCCCTCCAGGGCTTTAACCCACAGCGCTCTAACAAGCAGGTCTCTGAAGAGGCCAAGCCAGCTCTCCTGAAGTCCAGGGTAGCAAGATTGCTGTGCTCCCTCCTTGCTGCCCTAAGGATCTCAAATTCCACAATTTCATGGTCACTGCAGCCAAGCCCATCCTTGAGCTTCACATCCCCCACCAGCCCCTCCTTGCTGGTGAGAACAAGGTCCAGTACAGCAACTCTCCTTGCTGGCTTCTCTATCACTTGGAGAAGAAAACTATCATAAAAGCATTCCAGGAACCTCCTGGGTTGCTTAATTCCTGGCTGTGTTGTCCTTCCAACAGATATTGGGGTGGCTGAAGTCCCCCATGAGGTGCAGGGCTTGTGAACACGAGATCGTTCCTATCTGTCTATAGATGACTCATGTCACCTGTCCCTCCTCTTCCTTTAATCCTGACCCACAAGCTCTCAGTCAGCTCCTCATCCATCCCTAGGCAGAGCCCTATGCACTCCAGCAGGTCATTGACATAGGAGGTGACACCTTGTCTCCCCTGCCTGTCTTTTTAAAGAGGAATATATAAAATACATAGAATTATTTTTTTCATGATGGTGTTCTTGGCCTTTAAAACATATTCATCATCATGAAGCAACAATATTGTTATAACTGCTTTGAAACAATTTCTGTAGAGAGTGATGTATTTTATTTGACCAACTACATATAGTTATAGAGACAGTAAGTTATTAAGTGTTGTCACGGTTTAACCCCAAGTGGCCACTCAGCTCCCTGCAGCCGCTTGCTTCCTCCCCCCCTCAGTGGGATAAGGGAGAGAATTGGAAGGGTAAAAGTGAGAAAACTTGTGGCTTGAGATGCAGAGAGTCTAATAGGCAAAGCAAAAGCCACACGTGCAAGCAAAGTAAAACAAGGAAATAATTCACTCCTTCACATGGGCAGGTAGGTGTTCAGCCAGCTCCAGGAAAGCCAGGCTTCATCATGGATAAGAGTGACTTGGAAATACAAATGCTATCTTTCCAAATATCCCTCTCTTCCTTCTTCATCCCCCAGCTATATTAGCTGAGCATGACGTCATACAGTAGGGAATATCCCTTGGGTCAGTTGGGGTCGGCTGTCCTGGCTGTGTCCCCTTCCCAGCTCCTTGTGCACCCCCAGCCCACTGGCTGCTGGGGTGGAGTGAGGAGCAGAAAAAGCCTTGGCTTTGCATAAGCACTGCCCAGCAGCAAGGAAAACATCCCTGAACTATCAACAGAGTTTCCAGGACAAGTCCCGAACCCATCTCCACACTAGATACTGTGAAGAAAATTAACTCCATCACAGCCAAAATCAGCATGTATGTTTTATAGCATATCATAATTACCATAAATCTGAGTGAATAGAAGTGCACATACAAAAGAACAAGTCTTTCTTTAATCAGGTGAAGCATAACAAGATTATAAAAATTCAGCCATGACTGTGAAAAAAAAAAATAAACCACCAACAAAACAAAAGGTGAGCCACTGAGAGGAGAGCTTTCAGAAGGATGTCTGGAATCTTCAGATTCTTCACTTAAAATCTGGCCAGGACATCCTTTGAGTTTCCTATCTACTTCAGTGCAGTCAACCTTTCATTGTCTGTTTCTTCCTAGGGTTTTTCACCCTTCCCCTGATCTCTCCTCTTCACAAAGTCCACTAAAGTCCAGGTTTAGACAGAGAACAAACAGGAACTGGTCTTTCACACACCCTGAGTGCTCTAAGTCCTAATGAAACTGAAACCATTGGGATGGTCCTACTGTCTGTCTCACCCCAGCACTGTATGCTGTTTAACAGGGTTGGTGAAGACACCTGTCTCTGGAGAGGACTGGGAGCTGTTAATGTCAACCAAAGATGAGATTGCTGAGAGCAGGTTACATTTGCCACAGATATCAGAACACAGAAATGTCAGACATTTACCATGGAATAACATTTCTTCGTTTCCTATGGAGCAGCTTTTGCAGAAGTACTTGTAAGCCTCACTGCTGGAGAGCCCTGGAACCTGGAGTGTGGCTTCCCTGATGAACTGTAAGCCTAATCAATGTGGAAGACTTGGGTGTTATAGCTCATTCTGTTGAGCTATGTCTACATTATGTAAGGTTGAGATTGCCACTATTTTACTATAAACTTTTTTAGCTTTATGATGTCCATTCATCACTGAACTGAAAGAGTTCATTTGAAAGTAAGAAAAACCTAGGCACAGAATATACTTTAACCAAAAACTGAGAAGAGTAAAGGAAAGGCGTAATGATTTTAAGCTGAAAGAGGGTAGGTTTAGATTATATATAAGGAAGAAGATTTTTACAATGAGAGTGGTGAAACACTGGCACAAGTTGCCTAGAGAATTGGGAGGTACCCCATCCCAGGAAACACTTCAGGTCAGGTTGGACAGGGCTCTGAGCAACCTGATCTAGTTGAAAACGTCGCTGCTTAATGCAGGGGGGTGGACTAAATGACCTTTAAAGGTGCCATCCAACCCAAACTGTCCTATGATTCTACGGTTCTATGAAAGTTGTCGTGACCAAGAGCTCCCTCCTGTGTTTTACAGGAAGAGCAGAAGGTCCACGCGTGCGTAGGTCTCTCGGGCAGTGTGACGCAGGCAGCCCCCCTGAATTAAAAAACCAGCAAACAAACAAAAAACAAAAATAGAAAATAAAAGGGGAAGGGAGAAGGACCCAAACAAACAAACCAGTTAACAAATAAACAAAAAACTTGGCATTTTGAAACAAATCCTTATCCATATGACCCTCTTACTTAAAAATATATTTTAAAAAGACGTAGAAAATCAAAGGAGTGTGTTTTCATGAATACAGGTTCACAAATTCTTCTCGTCACTAAAACTTAGGACCGATTCCGAAAGAGTGCATGTGGGGTATTTCAGATGGTAGCTAGGGTCACAACTTTCCAAATAACTCGCTTCTTCTGATTCCATGATGGCCAACTCCCTGCACTGTAGCAGCTCTCAGTCTGTTTCTCTGTGAAGCTGTAGATGTGGAAGTACAGTAGATACTTAATTTTGGGTGCACCTTAATTTGGTTTTCATCTAGAACTTTTACTTGAATGTGTTATTTTCTTGGTGTGTGCTGTTTGGACGTGTTTTGGCTCTTATGTAATCAATTAATACAGGCATAAACAGTAGCACTCTGACTTTTTGGACTCAAACGAGCTCATTTCTTTTTCACTGCAGTTTTGAAAACAGGAGAACACAGGTTACAAAATGCACTGAACCCTGAAAAAAAGGATAAATTCAAGCTGTTTTCAGGTCTGGTGATTTTTCCCTCCACAGCATGACTTTGCACAAATCACACTAAAACTCTATGATAAAACTGTGTTAGTATACTTGACTGCCCTTCAAGTGTTTTTTAGGGGTGCCAAAGTTTTTCAAGGCTGCTTCTGAAAGTACAAAGGAAAGTGAAAAAAAGAGTAATTTGTATTGACTGGCTTATTTTAGTAATTTTAACCTATCCAAGATTAAACACTGTACTGGAAAATAAAGAAGAATTAATGTCTTCATACTGTGATAGATCAAGGTTTACTATTTATACAAAATTTGTTAAAACAAGTCCAAAGCAAAGATGTTTAAAACTGAGATACTTAAAATGGTGAAGCTATACCATGAAAGTTAGTTTGAGTAGCAAGATAAAGCCTACTGTGGAATGAACTCTAAGTGAGAATTAAATTAAAATAGTAAAGTGTATTTTTTAACTACTGCACACAACTAGATTTATGGAAATATATGATGACTACACTGACTAATGAATTTTATGATAACACCTTTCAAAACCTGTACTAGCGAGGACCGCATATTAAAGGGCTGTAAAGGTGAAGAACAGCTTTTTCTGTTTTACTACTCAAATAACAGGAAATGTTATTTGAGTCATAGGATCTCATTTTGTCTGCTTGAAATTGCATCCATATCTACAGCCTCTAACCTGGGCAGAAGGTCTCTTACTTCCTCAGGAGAAAAGATCTGAAACTTGACTCAGCTACTAAGCAGAAAAGAAGAAACACACCTGAATTCCTTCTACTTTGGAAGTTTCTTTGGTCTTTCTACATTTGCTTTCACCTGTTTCTGAAAAAATGAAACAATAAAATGAATGCTTTTCTTCCAGTCTTCGACTGAGAACTATGTTCTAACTTTACACTTAAGGCAAAAAAGATTGTTAATAAAATTATATATCTATATCTACCCATGGAAGTTTTGGGAAAGTTGGAATTCTACTTGAAAATACTCTGCCATAATAGAGAAAAAAATCATAAAGATTTTTCTCAGGCAAGAACTATGCTGAGAGCATCGGAAACAGAGTGTCACCCTAGTTAAACAGATTGTCCAGTTGGAAAAAAACCCTCTTCATATGAGTCTCTCTAAAATATATTTATTGAACTTATTTTGGGTTTAATATTAAAATATTATTTTGTGTAGTAAGATAATAAAGAAAATGTGATTTGGGGTATTTTTATTTCACAAACAGAATGTTTAAACATGGAGACAGAACATTGAAAACTGGGAAGAATCTGACAACAGCAATACCAGAACCAGCAACCTAATGCTTTTTTTTTTTAATTCCTTGTAAGTATTGGAAATTATTAATTGGCTAACTCAACGAAAACTATAATGAAACCAACAAGTACAAAGGCATATGTGATGTTCTTGTAAAAGAGAAAAGCTCATATCTTTAGTGTTTTAAATTAATATACAGTTCCAAGTGCTGTTTAGGGAACTGGGTATTGCTGTGACTAGAGTGTACAAGAAATAAACAATTCAAGCCAGTTTCAAGCTGCGAAAGAAATACTGAAGTTCATAAACAGTTCAGGTTGCTAACAGCTAGTTCTCAACTACTATCATGATTACTACATATACAAAACCACTAGTCCTCAAAAAATCTATCCCAGATGAGCTGCAAGTACACAATACAGTGAAGTTGATACCATGCAGTGAGTGCCGACGGCTCCATTGTTGGTAGTCCTTGGTCACCAGGATCAGGATAACCAGGATAACCAAGCTTGAGAGCTTCTTGCAGGCAGTTGCCTTCTTCACTCAGTTAATGTTTTATACTCTCTGACCCCAGCCCAAAGAAAAGGAAATTATCTCATTTGTTCTTGCTGACTTATTTTGGGGGTTGGGATGTCTGGGTTTTTGCTTATTTTGCAGGTGTAACCAGACACCTTTCTTGCCTGCTCTGTATCTTTCTCCTTCTGTTTTGTTGTTTGGTGACAGGTTTCCAATTGTAATTTCTTAGGTAAGCTTCATTTTGCCCATTTAGTGAGGCTTTAAGAAAATAGCTGGAAAGAATTAACTAGGAAACTGTGAGCTGTACAGGATTGCTTCAGCTGCTGTCAAAAATCACAGAGCGAGTCTTCCTCAAATGTATTTCTTGCCACAGGAAGGAGAAGGTGATTAGGTGACACAGGTCCTATGAGCCTGTAGTCACCCATTTAAGGAAAATGGCTGGAACTGCATCTTATGGCCCAGATATAGCCTGCTTTTAAGCCATCTCAGCTATCAGCCAACACTTAAATGCAATCTAAAATAAAAAAGTGTGTTTAAATGAAAGGAGCAAACGTCTGAAGATTAACTGTAGACAGATAATCTCTGCTTCAGAGGTGGGGTAGGTACTTGGTAAAGCATCTGCCATCTCGCTTTAATCCACATCTGCAAACCTATTAGAGTCCTCAACATATGAATTTTGGGTACCTCTGCTCTGTGAAATCCACAGTCCTCAAACTGACGCTCAGGTTTCTTATGCAGTGCTGAGGGTGAAAATCACAGGTTTAACAAGCTAACAGAGGACTCATCTCTTCAAGGCTAGAGGATTATGAAGTAGCATCCCAGTGTGGTGCCTCTTCTGGCAATAGGTACTTCATGAAGGTTCAGCCCCTTTTCCAGAGGAGCAAAATGGGACACCAGATCTACTCCATTACAAGCTCATGTTCCTACCTGAGCTATTGGACCCACATTTCTTTTTCCTACTCCACCTCATTTGCCACAGAACATTAATATAATAAGGATGGGGGTTATTTTTGATTTCTTCTTTTGAATCTGTAAACTGGGAAAGGCTAACAAAGTTGGGGCTGTTTAGTCTGGAGAAGGGAAGGTTGTGTGGAAACCTTCCAGCACCTGAAGGGGACTTACAGGGAAGCTGGAGAGGGATTGTACATAAGGAGTTGTAGTGACAGGACAAGTTATAAAGGGTACGCATTGAAAGAGGAGAAACTAGGTTAGATATTAGGCAGACATTTTTTACCGTGAGGTGGTGAGACACTGGAACGGGTTGCCTAGGAGGTTGTGGATACCCCAACCCCGCCAGCGTTCAAGGCCAGGTTGGATAAGGCCTTGAGCAACCTGGCCTAGTGGGAGGTGTCTCTGCCCATGGCAGGGGGCGTCGAGATTGGATGATCTTTAAGATCCATTTCAACGCCTTAACATCCTGTGATAGTATTTACTAGAGCAGAACGTGAAAGTCGATACTGCTGAAGAATAGCGTGTGCCCTTTGAGAGGTGCTTTATCTTTCTGGAGCACCGAACGCCTCCGGATCTGCGAAACAGAACCCTCCAAATCCCTCCCTCTCTACTCTGCTTCTCGGAGGGCACTGAGACCGCTTTCCGCCGCGCCTGGGCAGGGCAGGGCCGTGCCATCCGTCTCTCCCGCCCCTTCCCGCCGGACACACGTCCGCACATCCCGGAACCGCTCTGGGAAGGCGGCGCGGGCGCTTCCGGGTGGCAGCAGCGCGTCCCGCCTGGGCCCCTCGGCCACGCCGCGTCCCGCCCGCAGCCCCGGCCAGCCCCGCAGCTCCCGCGCCCCTCCGCGCCCCCCTCGCCTTCCCCTTCGCCGGGCGATGCCGCCGCGGGGCTCTCGGGGGCCGCTGCCGCCCCTGCTGCTGGTGGCGGCGCTGGCGGCCTGCGTGGCGTGGGCCTCCGAGATCACCTTCGAGCTGCCCGACAACGCCAAGCAGTGCTTCTACGAGGAGATCGCCCAGGGCACCAAGTGCACCCTCGAGTTCCAGGTATCCGGCCGGGAGGCGCCGCCCCGGGCGCGGGCGCCGCGCGGGCCCCGCTGGGCGCGGCCCGAGGCTGGGCCGCTGCCGGGAGCTCCCGCTCGGCTCCGGCATTCAGAGTCTGGATCGAGTGAGGAGTTTCCAGATCAGCTGCCGGGGGAAGGCTTCAGTGTAGTGCAGGGCTGAGTGGGACACGCAGAGCTGGCTCTGAAAACTGGATAATGATGCCTGTGTCCTGGTCGTTGCCGTGTCGCGCCCCTCCCCAACAGCGCGGAGAATACCTAAAGCACACCCGCAGGATGCCGCAAAATTCCATTCTGGTTTGCGAAGCACCGACGGGATGAGCACAGTGCATCTTAACGAGCTGGTGCTTCGTATTTCAGAGCACAGTTCAGATTGGGTTTACGTAATAAACAGTAAAAGGGTGATGGGACAAGGATGCTGTACAGCATCACTGTTTTGGTGGCTGTGAGTGTATCTGCGGGGTTGGAGCCTTTCAGTCTGGCACTTTGGCTGATGAATTCACTGACAGTAAAGCAGCAGCATGAGAGAAAAATCGTCCGTGATGACAGAAATCATAGTTACCTTTGAGGGTTTTTGAAGGGGCTTTGTGATTTTGTAGGCTGTGTTCTCGTTGAAGTTCTGCAGTTTTTTTGTTTCTCAGTTACTGCTATATATTGGTCCTTGTTACTCTGTTTCATGTGTTCTAGCTCCTAAGTATCTTTTTCCTGCTC